ATTTTGATGTGATTTGTTTACAAGCTAATGCTAAAGCTGCTTGGCTATGCGATCTTACGCTGACTTTTTTGCCATTGTAACTGTTTTTAAGATTTTGTAATCACAAGTGGCACATATGCCAGGTTGAAACGTGTACTTCCCTAATGAGTTTGATTGCTCATATTTTATTGTATCCGATGTCCTGAATTCTTCTTCTTCTTTGTAGTGGTTGAGACTTTGTAAGATGTTGTAAAGAGTGTGTTCCGCGATCATGTACTTAGTTCGCATTTCTAAGAATGGGTGTCTGATTTTACTTATTGTTGTGTGCCCCATGTTTATTTCGCATTCAATCTGACTGCTTCTGGAGACTAAATGCTTCAGAAGTGGTAGTGCAATTGAGGGAGTTGTCTTCCCTGCTTTTTCATTACCCCAATAAATAAGTTATATGCTGCCTAGTGTTTGGATAGCATGTTTTTCTGAGCTTATATGACTCAATACTTATTAGTTGTTACAAAAATGTCAAAAATGGAAATATTTTTAGTAATATTTTATACAAACCTTATCGTAATTATACAAATATGCAGTTTTTTAAAAGTTTAGCGTAAAATCCTTGAGGCCTCCTTTTAACCAGAGATCAGGAAGTTCAAATTATAGTTTTTAAATTGTTGCATTGTGTAGTTACGTTGGTTGAAACGTTGGCAAGATTATTTAGATTTCGACCTTGGTTTATTATTTATTGGCTGTGAGGAACACGGAATGCTCTCATGCGCAACCTCTCGACTCATAAAGCTAATGTTGGATTAACTAGATCATGAAGTAATTTTATATCATAAGGGATTTTTCGTAAGTTCCGTTCATCTGGATTTCAACTTTGCCTAATACGGTTGGAGCAATGATGAAGACCACCCGTTCCACGGCCGGTAGCCCATTACGGGGTTGTAGATTGGTTTCATATGTCTTCTCGGAATGGCGCAGGTGGCGGCGGCCCGCAAGTGGCTATAACTTAACGAAAATTAACGGGCCCGCTGGAGCCCGGGGGCTTTTTCTGCATGAAACGTCAGCCGAATACCGCTATTGTTTTTTGTTTTGTTTCAACCAAGCTGCCGACGAATTTATGAGTAGCCGATATTCAGTCACTGTGTCACCGGTGATTTGTCAGTCAGATTGATCTGCCGGGTCAACTGAACGATACGTCAACGGCTATGACGACCCTTTCGACCCGGTTAGACGTTTTGTTTTTAAAAATTACCAGCTACCATTTATTTTCCTACCTGATACTCTGCTGACAGCGTGCTGAAAGAAGAGATTCGTTACAGCTGCGATTTGACCTTATACAGTTTTACGTACGAGAACGAGAAAAGAACGAGGATCTAAGAACGCAATTTCTTCACTTACTTTTTTTAATTTACTCTGCTTTTTTATGAAAAATATATCTTTTGTTTGCAGCTAACTGGATTTGTTATATGAGGCCGTCTATATGAACCAGTAATTAGATTAGATAAATTTATATTAAGAAAAGGGGCTTTGCCAGATCACCGAGAGCTTTAAAAGTTTCAGTAACTGATGGGTTATATAATATTATGATAGTAATCCAAAAATAACGCGGATATTTCTTATTTTTAATTGCCAAAAATTAGTTTTTTCTTGCGATCAAATTATAACAACCCTGTTTATTGCTGATTGTTTTACTACTATTTCACTAGTATTTTTTTAGAAAACAAAGATCATTTTCATGTGTACAACATTTAGGCTTGACGAGCGTGTTAAAATAGTGCTATTATGTACAAGTTTTAAGTTTTAAATAAAACGTTATAAAATGTAAAATGAAACATTTGTAAATGTTTGTAAAATCCCTTTATATTTCGTGGTCCGACTGACAAAATAACTTCTTCCAATTAATTAATCGTTTTATGTAAGGTATTGGTTGAAATGAAAAAGTCAGTGTCATGAGTGGGATTCGAACCCCAAGATAGCTTGAAAAATGGACCCTGGATGTATTTTGTTGTTTAGTTCAATTTAACTAATAATTTTAATCTATCACTAATAATTTTCCAGTGTTTTGGTGATTTTTTACAAACAGTCTTAATTAAATATTTTTTATTAAAAATCACAAATTTCCGATCTCGTTTAGTTTGCTTTGCATGAAGATAAGATGTAATTAATATAACGAGAAAAACACATATAGCTTGTAATTTGAAATAACAACAAAATATAAGTTCCTTCTTTTTTATTTTTTGTAACGTTTCTGATAAATGTTCATGTATTGATATATTAAAAATTTGTCAAGATTTTGATTTGGTCAAACTACTTATATTAATTAAATATGAGATGATGGATTGACCTGCTGTTAAACTACGTGGAAAAAATTTCTTCGGTGAGGCATCAACAGAACGACAATTGTTTCGGGTTTTGCCGAGCTTTCGACGATTATATCGTCATCATCAAGGCCTGTTTATTATAGGAAAACATAGCAAAAAAAACTTAAATAATCAACAATATCCAAATGTACCTGATAAAAGTAAGAAAAGTGGCATGTACTTATATGTATGTTAACCGAGATATATACCACCACGTTGTTTTAAAATTATATATTATGTTGTATTTTATTATTTTTAATTAATTCTATATTTTATCTTTTTAATATGTAGATGCTGAGCTTTGCTAAATTTAAATATTTTATTATAAATGCAGTTTTCCTCAAGACATACGTTAACACTCATCGAGTTACAGTAAGATAATATAATTGTTTTTAATTTTGTTTCTAAATTGTACAATATTTCTAATTGCAATGTTTTCCTATAATAAACAGGCCTTGATGATGACGATATAATCGTCGAAAGCGCGGCAAAAACCGAAAGAATTACCGTTGTGCTGTGACCTCATCGAAGATCCTTTTTCCAGGTACTTATATTAATATGTATGAGTATCCAGAAAGAAATAAGTGAAAAGGAAACTACAGGTAAGTAGATAAAGAGTGTGCCTGAAGAAGAGAGGGAGATAGAGAGGGATATAGAAAGAGAAATAAGAAGGTAGAAAGTAAAACAGGGAAAAGGAGGTTGTGAGTAATAGAGGGAGTGACGTAGGTTCATATGGAGAAAAGTGTAAGAGAAAAAACAGAGAAAGTTAAAATGAGCCTAAAAAAATAAAAAGATAGGTTTTATCTATCGCGAGAACTCGTTAGAAATTGAAGAGAGTGAGAGAGAAATAGGAAGCGAGAGAAGAAGGGAAAAAATTAAAGAAGATCTGGGGGATAGATGGTAAAGAGTTTTATCGAAAATAAACTAAAAAGACAAAAAGACGAATAGATATCTAGAGATGAAACAGGGAAGGAAGAAAAAACGATACTGAGAAAGACCAAGGGAATGGAGAAGAGAAATAAAGGCAAATAAGGAGAAAGAGAGACCGAGAGGAAGAGAGTAAAAGTGAAGTAGGACGCCCATCTAAAGAGAGGAGTAAGAAGAAAAAAGTGGGAATGTAAAATTGAGCTAAAAAGAGAAAATAAACGAGGAAGCTATCTATTGTGATAATGAGTTAGAAAAAGGTAGATACAGAAAGAGAGGGAGAGAAAGCGATTAAGAAAGTTAGAAAGAAAGTGAGAGACTAAGAAAGAGAGAGAAAGAATAACTATAAAACAAGAAAACAAGATTGAGATAGAGAAAAGAGAGAGAGAGAGTGACAGACTAATAAAGAGAGATAGAGAGAAAAATATAATGGAGACAAGAGGAGCTAGATCAACAGAGAACGAATGAATGAGAGATAGATAGATAGAAAGACAGAAAAAAGGGAAATGGGAGACAGGTTCAAAGGGAAATAGGACAAAACATTTTATTGATAAATAAAGGAAACATAGATAGCTTATTAGTGAAACAAAAATAGAGAGGGGAGGGAGATTTTGTGCGAAAGGGCGTGGAATTCACAGGAAGATAAAAATATAAAGGAGGTTTAAGTGGTACAGTGAAAAAAAAAGAGTACGTTTGTACAATAATAAAAACGGAAAGAGAATGAGAAAGTCGAAGAATGAAAAATATGAAAGGGGGTGGAGAAAGCAAAATGAAGAGGAGGACGGAAGTTTAGTGAAATGTGTAGAATTTCTTTCGAAAAGAGATACAATTTGTTTAAAAAGTAGTTTTAAACTGCTTAAACTATACTGAACTTATTTGGTCCATTTTCACTCGCGGTTTGTTGAACTACTCAAACATGTTTCGGCATTGCTCCATCTTCAGTGAGGAACAGTTTATACATTGCCCTAATGAGAAAAATGTTTATATTATAGTTGATGTTTTTCTTTGGTTTATGAATTGCTTTTATATCTTAGTAACTACGTAGTGCAAAATAGAATAGTTTTAATGGAAAGCGTGAGTGGAAAAATAATCACGAGCGCACAATTTTCGAATTGTCCCGACACGTATGCGTTTAATAAACTTATCGAATATCATCTTGAGAACGTACGAACACTGTATGGAAGCTTGCTTGACGTAGTTGTGGATATGATAAGCCTGGGGTTTGAATATCAGGTTTCCCATTCGTCAAACCTGTAGAAACCTGCATCACTAAGCAACTTGTAAACTAATTATAATCAAATTTCCTCTCCCTTTGATAATCCCGGTGTTTGAAACAGGTCCCCTGCCTGTGTAGATACCTGACATCAACTTACAGAATCGATAATTCAAATTGAACACGACTTCAAATATCATAATTCGAATATAGGGAAAAATTTAATTGTCGTAACATTTTAGGTTTATTCAATTATGACTTTCGTCAAAAATTGTGCATTCTTTCTCCTTTTCTTTATAATTTATCACCATTATCAAACAAATGAACTTCCGAGAGAAACTGTCCAGTAAAATCAATAAGTTTAATAAATACAAATTTTCAAAGATTGTTTTCAAACATGCCACGTACAGAATAACATAAAACAAATCAACCTAGTTTAATAAGAGAAGGGTACAATTTCAATCCCATTTTCAATTTTCCCGCTGATATCATAAATTTACAAAATTATTATAGCGGTTTGAATTTACCTGACATTGATGATTTTAAAGCCCTCCGCAGTGTGCTTTCTGAATCTACTGACGATCTGGATGTAACTAAAACACAGAACAATCGTTTGATTATCTCTCATCATCCCATAATTGCATAATTCAATAAATAATAAAATAATACATATCAAAAAGTGTAGATCCATGATAATGCGTCATTTATAGATTTAAATTACACTGTGACACCCTTGCCAATCAAATTAGAATTCAAACATGTTTCAATTCTTGTTCGAGCTTAAATCTCATTCCAATCATAAAATATTTGAACGAAAATGGTACATTAAACAGTTTAACGACAATTAGTGGTTGGTAGAAAATAAAATAGAGTGAGAGATATGAGGCAAAAGTAATAATAGTCTGAGAGCGAATAAATAGACATAGAGGAATATAAAGAAATAAAGTGAAAGATTGAGAGAAAATAGGTTTTTATGTTTGTAACGAAGATAGAGGGAGTGTAAAGGGTATAAAGCAAAAAAGAACGAAACAGAGAGCGAGAGAGAGAGAGAGAGAGAGAGAGAGAGTGAGAGGGAGGGAGGGAGGGAGAGAAAGGGAGAGAGAAAGAGAGAGAGAGAAGGGGTGAGAGAGAGAGGGAGGGAGAGAAAGGGAGAGAGAAAGAGAGAGAGAAGGGGTGAGAGAGAGAGGGAGAGGGAGAGAGAGAGTGAGCGGGAGAAAGTGAGTGATGAAGAGATAATGAAACAAGAGAGATAATGAAAAGAAGAGCATTATTATATTTTCTCAAGTACACATAAGTAAAAAATTGTGAAATAACGAGAAAGAGAGAGAGAAGGGGTGAGAGAAAGAGGGAGAGAGAGGAAGAAAGAGTAAGTGAGCGGGAGAAAGTGAGTGATGGAGTGCGAGAGGGTGGGATGGAGGGAACGAGAAAAAAAGCAATAGCTATATTTCATCTCAAGCAATATTTTATACAGATAAGTATCAATTGCTTGTAACATGATCAGTATTTTAAGAAAGGCATAACAGACAGTGAGCTGATAAAGGCAGAAGTTAAGTTATTTATTATGACAGAAAGAGAAAGCAAGAGTGGGAGAAGAGAGGAAAAGAAAGAAGGATCGAAAGAAAGAAAGAGAGGAAAAAAGTAAGAGAGATAGATTGGATAAAATAGATTAGGAGAAAGAGTGAAACAAGAGAGATAATGAAAAAGAGAGCATTATTTATTATTTTTATTAACTATAAAATATTATTATTTATTACTATTATTTATATTAACATTATTTTCTCAAGTACGCATAAGTAAAAAATTGTGAAATAACGAGAAAGAGAGAGAGAAGGGGTGGGTGTGCGCGAGAGAGAGAGAGAGAGAGAGAGAGAGAGTGAGGAAGGGAGGGAGCGAGAGGGAGAAAGAGTGAGTGAGCGGGAGAAAGTGAGTGATGGAGTGCGAGAGGGTGCGATGGAGGGAGCGAGAAAAAAAGCAATAGCTATAGTTCATTTCAAGCAATATTTTACACAGATAAGTACCAATTGCTTGTAACTTGATCATTATTTTAAGAAAGGCATAACAGACAGTGAGCCGATAAAGGCAGAAGTTAAGTTATTTATAATGCCAGAAAGAGAAAGCAAGAGTGGGAGAAGAGAGAAAAAGAAAGAAAGAGAGGAAAAAAGTAAGAGAGGTAGATTGGATAGAATAGATTAGGAGAAAGAACATTATATTTTCTCAAGTACGCATAAGTGAAAAATTGTGAAATAATGAGAAAGAGAGAGAGCGAGAAAGTGAGAGAGTATGGTTGCAAACAAACGAACGGTATCTACTGTCCCAACCTCAATTCTGACTACTGCTTTTTCTTCGCACGATTTCTTATTTCATGAATAAATCTTCCATAAATTGAAATAACTGCTAACACAGGTAAATTATAAAACCCGTACTACTAGTTTTTAAAGATAGAGAAAAAAATTGTACGTTGATTATAGTGTGATTACTAGAAAAAAAAACCAAGAGGAAGAGACCCCCTTTCTATTAAAAAAATTCTAAAATAGGTTCAGCATGTTCGTTTACCGGAAACGGCTTATGACAAATCGTTCTAGTGGAATCCGTCCGGATGTTGTAGACACGCGCGAAGGTAGTACAACGAATAAATATTTTCACTTCATTGGGGATAAAAACTGTGAAGTGAAAGGAAGAGTGGCGAAGACAAGGGATAATTCCGAGAATTCCACCCCTCGGAGAATCAATTTAAGCCGTCCGATGTTTTGAACGGGCCGGAGATTGGAGGAAATTACTTTTTTCCCTACAGCCGTGTTGTAACGTATGGAAAATTCGTTTAGCACTTTTATTTGACTACATGACTTATATGAAAATTATAAATACGATTATTTATATAGATCATAAGAAATTTGTGCTTCTGATTTAGATCTTTTTTTCTTTAGGAAAGAAATGCAAGGAATCTCAGCTATTTTTCATCGATTCCTCTCGAAAAACATTCAGATTGATTTGACAGGTTATGAAAAGTTACTTATACGTAAAACCTTGTAATAATGTTGACCGCCTCCGCTTTACCATTTTTATAAAAGAAAAGAAAAAGTGGCGAAAAGTGTTTATATTATAAAATAGCCGATGTTCAACAAATGAAAAATGTTGGTCATTTAGTATCCACTACCACTCTCGAAAATTCAGATTCTGTTAAATTTAATTTTTTTTTTTTGCCTTAAAAACAAATTTTCTAGTTCTTATACTTACTGACTTTCAATGCCTTTTTCTAAATAATTTGTACTATAAAAATAAAATATGTATTGAACCATAAGGCAGGATGGTTCAATAACCAATGCAGTGCAAGATGAAAGTGTCTCTCGTTCATAAATTTTCAGCGATAGTAAAAATTTTAGAAAAAATAAACAACACCGTTTCAATTCAAGAAGGGAAGAAATTGTAAATAAATTTTATTATTCTCTGCGTGAGTTTGAGGATGGAGGATGCCGGGCCCAATAAATCAGTCAAGTACTTACAAGCGGTATTGTTCCCGTTGGCATTCGTCCCCGAAGAACGTACTTGACTTGAAGGCCTTGGCCCTTCAACTAGGGTTATTGCTGTATTTGTAGCTGGGGCATGTGTTCAGAAGGCGTTTCCCTACGGTCATTTAGGCCCTAACGGCCGTCCGAGGGCCCTCGGGATCTTGAGTTAGCACACATGTGCTTCTAGTTTGCCTGCACGCCACGCCGTCCCACGGGGAACGCCCAGGGGTCAAAGAGCAGGTCTTCAATTTTGAAGCTAGCAAGGCACACTGTAAGGTCTTTAAGAAAAATAAAGTAGTCACGCACAATATCGGTCCCCTGGGAAAAATAACTATAAACTGCTAAAGCGAATTTGGAATATTTTTCATAAATAATAAAAAGATTCATAATTCAAAAAACAAATTAATTATATTCCAGTATTAAAAACAATCAAAGAGGCCGATTCGTTTTATCAAAGACTGCCGTAACGTCCGAAGTCGTCAAAAGTTTGATCGTTAAAAACTTCATTTTAAGCCAACTTTTAATAAAGTCTTCCTGTCGGCCATCACCTTGATGTGATCTTTTCCTTGACAATTCAGGAATTATTTCTGAACAATAGTCAGAAACTTTTTGTCTTTAATGTTAATTTTCGTTTACATCGCGTTACATAGCGGCAAAATGTGTTTATATTTCAAACCTACAACTTTATTAAACTTGAGGCTGGAAAAGTCAAAGTAGTCTAGTGGCATTCATATCGAAAATTGTCCAAAAGTTACTATGAATATCTGTAGAATTTAGAAGTTGAAAATATATCAAGTTAAAGCGTGCAGCTATAGTCACCATTTCGATTTACATTTACAGAAAATAACTTTGCTTTCACAGAGAGCTAAAAAAGCCGGACGTTAAGCTATTTTTAATGTCAGAAAGAGAAACAGAAATGAAGCGAGAGCTAGGAGAGAGAAGAATGAGAGAGAGAGAGAGAGAGAGAAGATAAGAAAATGGAGAGAATGAGAAAGTAAGCGTTATACATAGAGAGATCTAGTGACAATAAGAGGGGGGAGACTGAGAGAGGAGAGAGTAAGGGAGATAAGAAAGAAAGGAGAAGGAGTGAGAAAGGGAAGGTTAGGGAGAAGAGAGAAAAATCCAGAAGTTAGCTGTTTTTAGTGATAGAAAGAGGAAAAATGAAAGAGAGGAAGGCTGAGAATAAGAGAGACAAACAGAAGAAGAAAGAATGAGAGTTAGTATAAAAGTAGAATAGTAATAAGAGAGGGAAAAGAAGGATAAAGGTTGATCAAAGAAATAAAGTAATAGAAAAATCTAGGAAAATATATAAAGAGTGAGATCAGAGAGATGATAAAAGGAGAACATTACTGTATTTTCTCAGGTGGTCCAAAAGAATGAAGAAGAGAGCCAGAGGTAGAGAGAGAGAGAGAAGATTATGGAGAGAATGGAAAGAGAAAAAGAAAAATACACGTGAGAAAGTTTAATAGGTAAGTTAGACGTAAAGAGAACTGAGGGCTACAGCAATAACTAAAAATATAATAAATAGATAGATTATTTGAGTGACTGAATTAATAAAGTCAGAAATTGGGGAAAAAAGAGGAGAGAGGGTTGTAGGGACAAAAAAGTGAGAGTCACAGGAGAAAGAATGAAGAGAGAGAGAGAGAGAAACGGAGAGAGGTGAGGGAGGGAGGAAAGATAGAGATTAAATGAGATATAGATAGAGCGATAGCGAACAAGAGAAGGAGCAAAAGGGAGCGGTGAAACCAAGGTGATGAAAGAAAGAGACGAAAAAAAGAGAGAGAGAAGGCTAGGGAGAGAATGTAAAGAGAGAAGACATGGTAGAAAGAAAGAATATAAAGTGAGTAGGTAAGCAAGAGATAGAGAGCAACAAGGCTATAGCAAAGATATACATAGATTAATTTAGACTGGGTGAATGAGTAAAATGGAGAAAGAGAGCGAGAGAAAAGGAGAGGACCGAGGGTCGGTAATAAAAAGAGAATGAGAGACATACCAAAAAGAAAGAGAGAGAAAGATCGGGAGGAGTAAGAAAAAAGAGAATATGGAGAAGGAGGGAGGAAAAATATTGTATGTCAGAGAAGTACAGA